AGAGAGAGAGAGAGAGAGAGAGAGAGAGATGCTCAAACACACACACACACACAAGACAACACACACAGACGCACACAACACAAGACAACACACACAGACACAGACACAGACACAGACACACACACACACACAAGACAACACACACAGACACACACAACACGCGCACACACAAGACAACACACACAGACACAGACACACACACACACACGAACAACGCACCTCCGACTCGACGCGCTCAATCTGCTCAAACTTGAACTGGTTGTTGCGGTGGCCGCGCTGCACGTTGCACATGACGTTCGTCTGAAAGTCAAGTTGCAGGATGCGACGCTGTGCGCCTTTAAGCCGGTTGATCTTGTACACGCCAAAGTTGTAGATTTTGCCCGCGTGCTGCTCAAAGGCAGACGTCGTCGTCTCTGGCCGCGGCGCAACGTCCACCCCCATGCCTGCAGCGACAGCAGTGTGTGCGTGTGTGTTTGAAGTCATAGTTGTGAGCGACACCCTCTTCTTTCTCTCACTCTCTCACGCACACACACACACACACACACACACTTCACTCTCTTTCACAAACATTCGTTCACTTGAACGTGTCATCGCACACTGCCAACAAACAGCTCACCCTCTGCATGGCGGATGGCCTCTTCGATGCTCAGGTTTCCCTCCTGCACACCCGCCAGAGTTAAGTACAGCACGGGCGGTGTTCAGCTCGCGAGCGAGTGGGCGCAAACACATTCGCACACAAGCAACAGCACATACACACCCATTGCACACACCAATGCACACACGCACACACCCACGTTGTCGTACCTTGACCATGTTCATGAGTAGGATGCGTTGTGCATCGCCCTTCTTGCGAACACGAACACTGTTCAGCGCCTCGGCATGGCGCATGGCATCCTTGGCCGTGATGTTGCCTTCTTGCACCATCCTGACACCATCATGCAGACACATGTCGATCAACGAATGGCGATGCAAAGGACATGTGGCGTGGGTCGCGACACAGGCACAGGCACAGGCATAGACGCAGGCACAAAGTCACACATTCACAGACAGACACAAACCCACACATTCACAGACAGACACAAAGTCACACATTCACACACAGACTCAAAGTCACACAGTCACACACACACACGCACAAACAGACAGGCACACATATTCACAAACACAAACAGACAGACACGCATGCAAGAGGGACACCGACTGTACTTTGTCACGGCCTTTAGGGTGGCCTCGTTGACGTCCTTGTAACGCGACTTGCGCTTGCCTGTCGAGTCATCCTGACCCACGCTGCTGGTGCTGCCGGTGGTACTGGTGCTGGCGTCCAGATTTGCCGCGCTTCCGCCGTTCGATATTGAGCTTGATCGGCTGCTTTTGCCGCCAAACGAGCTGCTGCGAAGATGGTGGCGGCCCTTTCCGTGTGATGCGGGCCGCACCTTCACCGTCGTCGTTGACTGCAATGGTTGGCGGGGACGAGGGACAGGGGCGAGGATCACCGACAGCACGCGGCACGCCACACACGACAGTACTCAACTGTGAGTCACAAAGACGTGGTCACGCTGTTCATTTGCCAAACACCACAGTCGTTGGGCACACCAAAACACCGCACAGCACAAGGAGGTCACACCCGCTGTCGTTTCAAAGTTGGCAAATAGATATGAGCACTCACCGCTCGGCCACGCTGCGCGGCCTCTTCTTCGCCCATCTTGGCAGCACGTTGTAGCGCTTCATCAAGTGGCATGCCGCTCTTGACGAGCTGCATGATTTCCAGCTGCGCCTCATTGCTGAGCTGCGGCAAGTCCAGCGGCGACTTGCCGGCCATGGCTGGAAGGAGGCCGAGTCCCTCTTGCGCTCTTGCGCTTGGTTCTCCTTACGGAGGCGTACCTGCGCACGTAACAAGCCCAGGTGTGGCAACCGATCGAAGCAAACAGGCACAAGGCTGGTGCCATGAGCGGGTGCACTTGACCAAACTCCAAACCAAAACAAGTGCAGCAAGCAGTGCCGTGCCAATACGGTGTGGTGGTGGTGGTGTCTGCTGAAAACTGTCTGTTTGGGGATCTTCTCTTGCGTCCACGCAACAAGAAGAGCCACGGCACCACAAAACGGCACAGGTGCGAAAGAAAGGGCCATGCACAAAGCCACGGTCTGTCTGTGGTGCGACTTCTTGCTACTCGTACCTGATATGCACGCAAGCACAGCGCAGAGCAAAGGCGATGAATACAAACCGTTCCTCCAAGTCAAGAAGCAAGTCGAGAGGAGAGGTGGTGAGATTGGTTGCTGGTGTCGCTGTGTCTGCTGTGGTTCGCTTGTTGGTTGTGTGCTGTTTTTGTTTTTGTTTGCGTTGTGAATTTATGTACATCATTCACGTATTTTCGGCAAACTGCGCTGCAGGCAGTGAGAGGTGGTGGAAGTTGAGAACGCACACACCACCACGACCACACAAAGACACACAACAACAACAACAACGATGCTGGGTGTGCGCAAGACAGTGCACGGGAGAGGGTCCTTCTGGGTGAAGAAGAAGACGACAAAGGAGACAAAGGGTGGGGATGAGAAGAGTGGTGAGGAAGCGCTGGATGGGGAGAGGCTGAGGAAGGGGACAGATGTGATCAAGGGCAAGCGGCCTTTTGCACATGTCGTTGAAAAGGCGAAGATGGAAACCGTGTGCCAGACGTGTTTTGTGCAGTGCGAGCAGCTGCGGCGACCCTTGCAGCGGTGTGCAGGATGCAAGGCGCTCCGCTACTGCTCCGCAGCATGCCAAAAGGCAGATTGGAAGGACCACAAGCCGGAGTGTGCTGCGCTGAAACGCGTAAGACGAGTGCGCAATGCATACCAGCGTTAATGGAAAGGCTGCCCTGCAGCGTGCTCACCCCGCTCACATGTGTGTGTGTGTGTGTGTGCTTGCTTTGTTGCCCTTGACTGGCCAACAGATTTCACCGGTGGTTCCCGCAACCTTTGTGATGTTTTTGGCACGCATCCTGCGGAAGATGGAGCGCAACACGGGCGAAATGGACGTGCTGCAATTGCACATGCCTGGTGGTGAGGTGTTCGTTACTCGTTAACCGTCCCCCAAAAGTGTCGTCAAGGTGTCTTGAAGACTTGCTCTGCACGTGCCATGATGACGGTCATGCTCGATTGGAGGTTGAGTCGTTGCTTGCGCATCAACCCTGTATTAAGTACACACGCACGTACAAGTCACCAAAGGCACACGTGCCACTCATCATTGTATGTGGTGTCATGTCATTTGCCTCCACACTGTAATGGGTAGAGCCATCTGATCCTCAGCAACAGCGCGGCCTCTTTGCCATCCTGGAGCACCTGCGGCATTTCCTGGTGTGTTGCAGTGCATTGTGTGGTGTTGAGTGATGGTGCCATGTTGCTTCCATGTCTTTGAGCGTTGGCACCCGAAGCATGCCTTTTTCATTCGCTCTGCTGTTTTAAGTCCTGTATCACCTCCATATGTGCGTGTGTGTGTGCGTTCATATGTGCGTGCGTGTGTGTGTGCGTGCATTCGTGTGTGTGTGCGTGCATTCGTGTGTGTGTGTGTGTGTGTGTGTGTGTGTGTGTGTGTGTGTGTGTGTGTGTGTGTGTGTGTGTGTGCGCCTCTAAACCGTTTCGCACTTACTCAAACACATCCGCACCAGCCCGATGCAGAGAAGCATCTTCTCAAGTCCGCTTACCCCGTCCTGCGCATCGTGAGTGTGCATCCAGAGAATTGCATGCATTGTACGCGCTGTATGTTTAAGAGAAACATCCGTGTATGTATTTCATCATGCGCATAAGTGCGTGTGTGTGTGTGTGTGTGCGTGTTTTGCGCCTGCTGAAGCCCACTTGTCCACATGTTCACGTCTCTCTCCCTCGCTCTCCTTTGCTCCGCTGCCGCGGGCTTCCTCGACCTGTAACACGTGCAGACAAGCGCCAACTCCTTTGGCATTTCCGGTGTGGAGGGCAACAACCTTGGCGTGGGCCTGTACGATACCGTGTCGTACATCAACCACTCGTGCGCCCCAAACTGCTCCATCACCTTCTCCGGCGTGTACGCGCGCGTTCGCTCTGTCCACGACCTCCCACCAAACCAGGAGCTCACCATTGCGTATATCGACCCGTGCGATCCACGCGCCAAGCGGCGGTGCGTGCAATTTGTTCTGTTGTGTGTGTTTACGTGTGTACGTGCGTGTGTGGTTTGTGTGCGTGCGAGTGTGTGTGTGTACATGGCAACTGTCATTAGCAAACACCTGCCAAACAAGTTGTCAAAAGGACATTGTGCCACCCATTCCTGCCACACGTCCACCCTTCTCCCTGTCAGCAAAACACCACGCCTCACACGCCACGGGCTCACCACCATGCCTGCAGGGCGCATCTCAAGTCCCAGTTCATGTTTGACTGCGAGTGTTCACGGTGCGAGCGCGAGCGTGACGACGACCCCCTGCTGACGCTCTGCTGCCCGGGCTCAGGGTGTGATCAGATCATCAAGTACCAGCTCACCGCACCGCCCGACGACACAGCCTTTGAAGTCACGTGCGTGGACGCGCATTGCGTGCGTGCATGTGTTTGTGTATGTGCTTGTGTGTGTGTACTTGTGTGTGTGTGTGTGCGCGCGTATGTGTTCATGTGTGCGTACGTGCGTGTGCGTGTGTGCGTGTGCGTGTGTGTGTGTGTGCTTGTGTGTGTGTGTGTGAATGCGTTTAGCGTCTGTGCGGCTCATCCGTGTGGCGGTTGCCGTCGTGCGCGTGTGCAGGAAAAAGTGTGAGCGGGGACACCTTGATGACCCGGCCACCTTTGACTCGTGGTCACGAAAGGTGAAACGAGTGCTGGGGATCATTGGCGAAGCCAACAAAGCGCGCCGGCCTGTTCAAGGGGGTGTGTGCATTTGCATTTGTTTGCTGTGCGTGCTTTGCGTGTTGTATGTGTGCACTTGCGTTGTTTATGCTTGGAGCAGACACAGATATAGTGCACGCGTATGCCAGTTCAACAGTTCCGCTCGTGCTTGAATGTATTGCCGCTGTCGGCTGCAGATATGGCGTCGTTTGAGCGACTTCTGCCTCCAACCAACTACCTCATGCACATTGCGTACACGGGCGTCCTGGATCAGGCCATCGGCACCGGCCAATTCCAAGAGGTACGAATGTGTGTGTGTATGTGTGTTAATGTGTGTGTGTGTGTGAATGTGTGTGTATGTATGAATGTGTGTATGTATGAATGTGTGTGTGTTTGTATGTGTGTGTAAATGTGTGTGTGTGTGTCCCTGTAAACCCACATGCATCCACATGTGCACGACATTTCACACGAATTATGCTCACTACGCCAACTTTGTTGTGCCACAAACCAGGCGCTGCAGTGGGCGCGAAAGGTCATTCTCGTGTATGACGCGCTCAACTCGCCCATGGACCCTCTGCGTGGCATTGAGGTGCAGTTCCCAGTCTTGTATCACAGCCCACAGCATGTGTACATGCGTGGACGTGTGCATGTGTACATGCGCGGACGTGTGCGTCACCTTGACATGTCCACACACACACACACACACAGACACACACACACACACAGACACACACACACACGCACACACACACACACACACACACACACACAAATTGTCTCATTTCCTTGCCTTGCCTTGGTTGTTGGTGGTAGCTGCTGCGTGTGGCCAAGTTGCAGGCCCTGGCACGGGACGGAAGGGGGTTTCTGGAGACAATCCAGAAGGCGGTGGACGTGATTCGCCTCACCCACGGCGAAGACAGCGTCGTGTACCAGCAAGTCCTTGCCCTGCACTGAACCCTGTGGGTGTTTGTGATGCGCGTTCACTTGCCAGGCCCATGCACACAAGTTGTTTTGTTGACAACAACACCAGCAGTCCAGCAGCAGCAGCAGCGCTTTCTTCTCGTCAACAACTCACCCCAAGAAGCACAAGAAGGGCCATATTCGCACAAGCACGGTGAATTTTCTTTCGATTATTTCAGCGTCGAATCCTCAGGCGCCAACACAAAAAAATAAACTCACGGCACTTTTTTTTTTGTTTGTGTCGACCACACGAAGACGAGCAAGCAAGCAAGCAACAGACGCAGCAGTCAGTGCCAGTCAAACAACCCCCCTCTCCCTGTCAGCCACAGCTGTTATCCATCCTTTTCTGAGCTGAGTTGAGTGGAGACCATCCCCCTTTCCCCCAAAAACCCCCTGCTCTTCAACCACTACAACTTTACCAACTCACATCAGTTTGTCTTTTGTAGCACGCCGATTGCAGCCATGGATGTCTTGAACCTGCTGAGGAAGGCGCAGCAAAGCGACGACTCCCAAAGCGCGGACACCGCCGCGCAACCGCAGCAGCAACCCCGGCCTGCTGCGACGGCGAGGCACGATGAGCGTGCCGCTGCTGTTGACGACGATGACGTTGACGATGTCAGCGAGTCTGTGCCGGAGTCCATTCATGTTGATGGTGATGACGACGGTGATGATGAGAGCGAGGCCGCCGTGACCTCGCTTCAGCACACCAACAAGAACGCACGCCCGTCCACCGGTGGCGTCTCGTCTGGTCTGAACATTCTTGCGCAGCTCTCCGCAGGCGTTGCTCAATCCGTCGCCAGCCCCGTTGGCACAAAGGCGGTGTCACCTGCAGCTTCGGTTACAGCGCCAACCGACAGCCAGCACATGTACGTCGCCGCGTGCCATGTGTGTTTGTCCGGCCCTTAACTTGTTCGCCCAAAGACGTGCTTTGTCAGTCACTGAGAAACACACACACACACACACACACACACACACACACACACACACACACACACACACACACACACACACACACACACACACACACACACACACACACACACACACACACACACACACACACACGCACACACGCACACACACACACATGTAACCATTCCCCTCACTCGCGCCTTCTCTCCTTGGATTGCAGTGTCCTGTCGAAGGCCACCTCCACCAGCGCCTCCTTGACTGCCCGCCAGGTCTCCATTTCGTTTGATTCAACCACCGAAGTCGCAGCTACCCCTGTACGTGACGCACCGTCTTTGATCGCCCACGTGTTGCCTTGCCGTGTGCTGGCTCACTGCTCGTTCGCTTCGTCATCATGTGGGATGAGCATGCGTCATGTTTCATCGTTGCATTTCAGTCGTACAATTCACACACGTACGTGTGCATGTGTTCGCAGGTTGAGTCGCGTCAGGTGTCGCCTGTGGCGCGTTCGCTGGACGAGTTTGTGTCGTCCCAGCTCTCCGCTGCTGGTGACAAGATTGCTTGGAGTAGCTCAGGTGCGTGGTGTGCAGGCGTGACTGTTGCTCGTGTTTTGAATGCGAGTGCGTGAGTGCATACATGTGCCAAGCCAGAGCACAACTACACACTCACAGCTTGCATCCATCTGTGGCGTCGCTTGCGTGGCTATTTACTGGTGTGTTGATGGCGTGTGCAACGAATTCCATCCTTGCAGGCTCTGTTGGCAGCTACATTCGTGTTCGCGCCGACGCCTCCGACCTCTCGTTCAACTGCCACGGCTTTACTAGGTCCGATCTTGGTCATGCAGCCACCCACCCCCCCCCCCTCGCATGCTTTTACTCGTGGTTGTGGTGTGTTATCGTTGTGTATGTGAGAGTAAGTTGTGTGTTGTCGTCATCGGTGAGTGTGTGAGTGTTGTATGTGTGTTGTGTGTGTGTGTGTGTCTTTGTCTGTGTGTGTGTGTGTGTGTGTGTGTGTGTGTGTGTGTGTGTGTGTGTGTGTGTGTGTGTGTGTGTATCATTTACCATTGATCGCCCTCTCACTTAGTTTAGGTTTATTACTTGGCTTACTCCAAAATAAGAGCTCATATTCTTACATAAATCCACGAAGATGTACAAACAAGTTGATGATGAAAACGAGACCGACTACTCCTAAGGACACATCATCGCGTGTGTGTGTGTGTGTGTGTGTGTGTGTGTGTGTGTGTGTGTGTGTTGTGTGTGTGTGTGTGTGTGTGTGTGTGTGTGTGTGTGTGTGTGTGTGTGTGTGTGTGTGTGTGTGTGTGCGTGTTTGATTCGAAATCAATGGCAATGCCGACTTTACCTTTCGCTTTTGTACCCCACAAATCGATGCAATCGGTACTGCCCACCATCAACCCCATTGCTCATTGCTTTCCATCACGACTGCGGTGTCTTGTGTCATGTCTGCGTTGGCAATTCCAGTTACCTCATCGACGTTGCCCTTTCGCACTGCTCCACGCTGCTTGCTGCTGTTGATAAGCGCGGTGACTTGAAGGTCCGCACCACACCACCATCCCCCCGCCCGCTACCATCATTGCACCGTTGTATCGTTGTTCTGCTGTTATGGCTGCCGTGGCTGCGTGTGTGCGTACTTACCGTTCATCTCGCTCACCCTCTTGCTGTTCCTTCCATCCTGGCTGCTGCTATCGCTGCTGGTGTAGGTGCTTCGGTTGTGTGATTCTCAGACAAAGGTCCATGTGTTCAGCCACAAGTTTAGCCACGGCGAGGTGCGCTTAACTTTGTACACAGGACATGGTGGAACACGTGAGGATTTAAATCAGCCACGCACACCCATGCGCACGCACGCACACACACACACACTCACCACACAACACACACGCACACACGCACACACGCACACACGCACACACGCACACACACGTACTGTGTGCGTTCCGTAACCCACCTCTCCACGATTGCGTGCGTGGCAGGTTGATGTGCGGCTGAGCTGGAGCGCTGATTCGAAGCAGTTGGCCGTCTGCCGCCTGAATGAAGTGCACGTCTTCAACACAGAGGCGCTGCTCACAGGTGCGCGCGTGTCAGTGTCAGTGAGTGAGTGTGTCAGTTTGTGTGTGTTTGCGTTGGTGCTTGCGTGACGAGCTGCCTTTGTGGACTGTGTATTTGTTGTGTTTCCTCACCCCAATTTACCGAATCACGCTCTTTTCCGCACACATCAACGTTCCGGTCACTCACCAGCCAACAACGAGGTCGCGAGCCTTCCTGTGGTGAGTTACACAAGTCACAACATTCAAAGCAGTCGCACCACCATCATCATTACGCCCATTCTTTTCATTATCGTGGCCATGGTCGGATACTCGTGCACTTTCCAGTTTAGCCGCACCGTGTACTCATGTGAAACCACAACAAGCCCACGCTGTCCTTCAACTCATCTCACACGTCAACAACACGCTACGCAACAAAACAACTCACCACACACCACCACCCTGCCCTCTTTCGTCCCACCTCCTCCCGCTTTGCAGCAAGTGCTGCGCGCGGGTCATGAGGCGCTGTGTGCTGCCTTCTCCCTCGCCACCACCCAGGGTCTCCCCGCGGCCGGAAACACGCTCGCGGTCGCCACCGCTGACGCCCGCATCAGCTTCTACGAGCGCTCGGACCAGACCCAGCCGTTTGCTCTGCAGCAGTCCCTCCAAGTGCGTGCGTGCGTGCGTGCGTGCGTGTGTGTGTGTGTGCGCTGTCCGCGTCATAATCTTTCTTCAACCGTCCTGCCACACACTGTGCGCCGTGCGTTGCTTGTTCCCGCTCACCTGTTCCAACCCAACCGTAACCCAACACCCCAACAGGCGGACGCTGCTGCGTCGCGGATGGCGTTTGTGACGCTCGAGCCCGATGTTCCGAGCGACATGCCCGTGCACGCCTGCTCCCACCCGCTCCTCGTCACCTTCTCCCGCAAAGCAAGGTGCCCTTGTTTTCGCTCGCCGTTCCCCGTGACGTGTTGTGTTGTGTGTGTGTGTGTGTGTGTGTGTACATGTGTACATGTGTACATGTGTACATGTGTACATGTGTACATGTGTGCGTGCGTGTGCGTGCGTGCGTGCGTGTGCATTGGCGTGCGTGTGCATGTTGTTCATCTGATGACACCACCGCCCATCACCTCATCTCATCCCCACTCCCTCCTCGACCCACTTTTCGTTCACAGCACGGTGACGCTGCGCGATACGCGCTCCCTCGAGGTCCTGCAGACGGTCACACTCGACAGCTCCACAGTGCGTAGCACACACACACACACACACACACACACACACACACACACACACACACACACACACACTGGCGTGTACATGTTGATGTGGCTGATGTACTTGACCCATTGTTAATCATCTTTTTTTTTGTTTCTGTCACTTTCCCACCCCTCCTCACTCACCCACTCACCCACTCATCCACCTTTCGTCCAGTCGTGGCGCGTGTCCATTGGCTCCACTGCTGTGATTGCCGCTGCCACGGCCCGCCCGCTGCTCGTGTGCTTGCGGCTTGCCTGTCCGCCCGCCACCACCGTTGGGCAGCCCCGCAACTACGGCCGTGCGCGCTTCACAAGCGCCGCCGTCTGCAGCACCAAAAGCCCCTGCATCGACATGGCCCTCGTCGCATTCACCGCAGTGCGTATGCTTGCGTGTGGCTGTGCGTGTAATTGTGTGACCGTCATTGTCTGTATGTGTGTTTGTGTTTGTGGTGGCGTGTGTGCGTGTGACTGTGTGTGTGTTGATGTCCATGACTCGCGTCATCGTTCTGCATACCATGCACACCATGCACAGCATGCACACTGACATATCATCTGCTTGCGCCACATGTGCGCTTCCTTTGCTCCCACAACATTCCACCCGCAGGATGACGAGGCTGGACGTGCAAGCCTGCGACTTGCCTTTGCATCGGTGGGTCCCGCAGTCTCACGTGTTGTGCGAAACTGAAACGCACATTTTCATGTTTGCTCCTGCTTCCTTTTGTACTTTTCGTATCAAACCAAACCCGCTCGCCCCAACGTCACCACCGCTGATACCTACTGTGATCCCTCCACCCTTTTTTCTCACCCAGTTTCCCTTATCCTCGCTCATCCCCCCCCCTCTGCTCTCCACTGTTTCAGAGGCGCGGCATTGATGTGATGACGGCTGCTGTTCCCATTGCGCCCGTGGACTGGACGACTGGAAGCTTCTTCGTCGACACGTCGGTGCCGTCAACATCCTCTGCCACTGCACCCGCTGCCGCCACCACAAGCACCGCCACTACCAAGCAGCAACCAGCACCCAAGCAGACAGCACCAGCGCCGCCCAAGGCAGCCACCCCGACTGCCACTCGCACGTCCACGTCCACGTCTGCCTCCACGGCGACGGGTCCGTCGTCAGCGGCGTCTGCGCTGCTCCGCGCACACGGGCGGTTTACGCTCGCGCCGGCAGCGGCGAAGGCAAAGGCGGCACCGCCAAAGGCAGCAGTTCAGTCGGCAGCAGCTGCTGCAACATCAGCTGCACACAAGCGCGCCAAGCTGCAGATGGAGCTCAAGAAGCAACAGCAACAGCAGCAACAGCAGCAACAGCAGCAGGCATCAGCAACAGGTGCAGATGCGTGTGTTCCCTCAACATCGTCTCAGGCTGCCGGTCTGTCGGATCCCGGTGCGCTGTTGAGTGCTCTCAAGCAGGGCAGCAAGCCGGGCGCTGGCGCTGGAGCAGCCCAGGCGACCACGCCAAGCAAGGGCAAGAAGAGCGGCAAGAAGAACGGCAAGCCGGCTGTGGCGCCCTCGCCTGGCGATGCCGCCATTATCTCCCAGCGGTCAGGGTCGTCTGCGCCGAGCAGCGTTGAGCCGTCCCCGCAGAAGGAGAAGCGCAAGCGCCGCTCCCGCACCCGCAAGCCAAAGGACGCAACAGCAGCAACAGCATCAGCAGCAGCGCCGGCAACTGCCACCGCAACTGCACCGGCCGTGTCTCTGTCCACTCCACTCGAGCACCCGTCCCAACAGCACCCGTCCCAGCAGCAACAGCAGTCCCAAAGCGTGGACGAAGGCGACCAGTCTGACCAGCCGTGGCCGCCGACGCTGCTGGCCCGCCCGCTGCCCTCCACACGCCACCGCCTTGGCGTGGGCAGCGGTGCGCTGTCGCCAACATCCCGCACGATGAGCACGGAGGTGGCGGCTGGGGACCTGCAGCGCGACGTCGTTGTGCCGGGCGGTGCACGCGGCCCCGGCAGCGAGGACGGGATGATGTACGAGTTTATGGAGCAGCAGCAGAGCATGATGAACCGCGTGGCGAGCGTGCTTGAGCGGCAGGCTGCGCAGGTGGACGACCTCCTGCTGCGGTTTGAGGAGCTGGAGCAGCGGGTTGGCCCGACGGTGGAGATGGCGGTGGAGCCGTTGCTGGATGAGCATGCCAAGCGCACGGAGAAGACGCTGCAGCGGCTGGCGCACGTGCAGGAGGAGCAGATGAAGGGGTTGATCACGGAGATGAACAAGACGTTCCGTGATGGCCTGAAGCAGGTGGCGAGCAAGGCCATGCACGCTGCCAAGGAGCAGCTGCAGCCCGCCGTGACGCGAGCGCTCAAGAGCACCAAGTTTGCAAACGACGTGGCCAAGGGCATCAACGTGGACGAGCTGCAGAAGAAGATCACGGCGCCCCTGCAGCGCAGCCTGGACAAGGTGCCGTCCGTGCTGGACGAGGTGACGCGGGCGATGCTTGAGGAGGCTGCCACGCGCGTGGAGGCCGGCCTGCACGACTACCGCGAGCAAATGCGCGCAGCCATCATCTCACAGTTTCGCACGGACTCTAACCTGCACGTGCTCCTGAGCGGGCTTGAGCGGCGCGTGGAGTCGATGGGGGCGTCTGCACAGCAGCTGGCAGCGAGCGCCACCACCGCGCAGACGGGTGTTGCCGGCCTGCAGCAGCAGGTGGCGCAGCTTGAGCAGCAGGTGGCCGCCATGGCGCAGACGGTCGCAGCAGTCCACCAGCAGCAGCAGCAACAGGGTGTTGGTGGCGGTGTAATGGGCACCCGGGGTGGTGTGGATCAGCAGCAGCAGCAGCAGCAGCAGCAGCGTGGGGCTCGGCGAGAGGAAGTGCGTGTTGATCCGGAGCAGATTGCTGCGCAGCTGTGGAAGGAGCAGCGCTACGAGGAAGCGTGCCAGTTTATGCTGAACAACAACCGCAGCACGTGGATTGTGCGGCAGTGCATGCGTGACGACTGGGTGTCTGCGCTTGAGCCGCCGACGCTGCTGTCGCTCATCTCGCTGCTGGCGACGTTTACCGCGCGCCTCTCCGCTGATGACGAGCGCGTGCGCCCGCTGGTCAACACCATGGCCACCGCTGGGCTCGCCCTCTCTGGCGAGGACCTGGGCTTGATGGGCGACACCCCGGCGCGTGTGCTGGCGCGGCTGCAGGCGCTGCAGCAGAAGCACCCGCTGGGGAAGGTTTCGCTGCTGATTCGCCAGTTTGGTGGGGGATCGGGCAGTCTCTCGCGCACCTCGTCCACAGCCAGTACCCCGCGCCATGTCTGATGCGCTGTCGTCTGTGTGTGCGTGTGTGAGTGTGAGTGTGTGTGTGTGTGGTGTGTGTGTGTGGTGTGTGTGTGTGTGTGTGTGTGTGTGTGTGTGTGTGTGTGTGTGTGTGTGTGTGTGTGTGTGTGTGTGTGTGTGTGTGTGTGTGTGTGTGTGTGTGTGTGATTGCGGGTTTGTTCCTTCCAACCTCCCACACGTCCATGTTTCGTGTCTGTTTCGTTGTGTGATTGTGCGAGTTTGTTCCTCCATTCGTTGTGCATTTGTTTGTGTATTGTGACTGGTAACATGGACCTCTCGTGGCATGCCACGTGAAGCGCGCTTCTGCTATCGTGTCTGCTGTCAAAGTGGCACTCCTCCCAACCTTGTCTCCTGTCATTAAACACACACACATATGCAACAGACATACAGCCACACACACACACACGCGCGCGCACACACACACACACACACACACACACACACACACACAGAAAGACAGACGCACACAGACAGACAGACGCAGAAACACATTCATGTCCACACGTCTGCCATTGAATACCCTCTTCGTCTTGTGCACAACTTTGAGGTGATGTGACGTCCACATCATGCCTGCTTGGCGTCTTGTTTGCTGCTTTGGTTTGCTGGCTCTCAGTTGGTGTTGTCTGGAAGCTTTGCTGAGGTGTCACGTGGTGGTTCCAACGTGTCGTGTGTCCCACCGTAGTCTGGTCGCTCCTCCTCTGTCCGCGTGGGCCAGATGGTGCCCACAGGGCTCACAGCCTCCTCCTTGGCCTTCTTACTCCCCGTGTATGCCTCCCATCGCTCCTGATTGTGCGTGCGTGCATGTGTGTGTGAATAAGAACGTGCGTGCATGTGTGTGAGTGTGTAAGAGAGAGAGAGAGAGAGAGAGAGAGAGAGAGAGAGAGAGAGAGAGAGAGAGAGAGAGAGAGTGTGTGTGTGTGTGTGTGTGTGTGTGTGTGTGTGTGTGTATGTGTGAGTGTGTATGTGTGTGAGTGTGTGTGTGTGTGTGAGTGGGATGTGAAGCAATGTTGAATCACCGCACGTGGTGCGTGGCAGATGATAGCCAATTCCACAATGCACGATACAAACGCAAAGTGGCAGTGAGCCAACATACTGCAGCGACGGCGGGCTTCTGTACTTTGCACTTGAGGCACTCCTTCAGATCCTGCCATTCTTCTTGACATGAGTCAATCTCCCCATAGATGTAGTATGACTTGAGCTGGTTCACAGCGGCTGCCGGTCGGAGGTGCACATTTCAACATGGCAGTGAGTGCAACGAGACTGAAAGCGCAACAACCAGCGTTTTGCGCGCAAAGCCGTCGCACGCACGCACACACATACGCATGTATACAGAGAGAGCGAGACAGACAGACACGCATAGACACACACAGACACGCATAGACACAGACACACACGCACAGACACACACGCACAGACACACACGCACAGACACACACAGACACACACAGACAGACACACACGGACATGCTCACACAGACAGACACACACGCACACACCAGCACGTACTTGTGCATCGTTTCCACCGTCCAAAGAACTCAAAGCAGGCGGGTCTCTTTGGTCCGTCATCCTCCAGTCCCCAGTCCCCAAAGTCCTCCAACGTGGCCGTCCCTCCTGTGTCGCTGCCAGCAGCGCCCGTGCTGCCGCTGCCGCTGTTTGCACCGTCAATGTCGTTGTTGTCACCACTCATCGTCATCAACACCAAGCAAGACACACTCGACTGAAAATCGTCAAAAACACGCACACGCAGAGGAAGGACTTTGCGGACTGCACGTTGCATGCTGCTGTGGGCTGCTGCTGTGCGAGTTGTGATCGACTGCGACGACAAGGCACGTGTTACGGGTGCAGAGCCAGAGGCAGAGTCAAGCACGATGTCAAGCGGGAGGGTGCAGCTGAGCGACTTGAACGACTTCATCACGCCGGGGCAGGCATGCATCAAGCCGGTCGAGGTTCAGCGCGAAGAAGGAAAGGTGTGTGCATGTGCATGTGTGTGCATATGTGATACATGTGCATGTGTGCGTGTGTGTGTCTGGCTCGATTTTCATTGGTGCACCCATTCACGCATTCCATCTCCTGCTCCTCGTCATGCATGACCACGTCAGCCTGCCAAGATTGCCATTGAACCGGATGGCAGCTACATGCAGCTCAAAGAGGTTCGCAATGTGAACTTGCTGTGTGTGTGTGTGTGTGCGTGTCGTGTGTGTGTGTGTCGTGTGTGTCGTGTGTGCCGTGTGTGTCGTGTGTGTCGTGTGTGTCGTGTGTGTGTGTGTGTGTGTCGTGAGTGTCGTGAGTGTCGTGTGTGTCGTGTGTGTGCCGCGCGTCATAACTTTGTGCACCTCACCACGTATCGTACCTCCGATCATAGGATGGCACGAAAGTGAAGCTGGAGAAGGCCAAGATCACCCTCAATGACTGTCTCGCGTGCAGGTGTGCCCATGCTCCTCTCATACGTGTGCGGGTTGACGTTCCACATCTACCTGTCTGTGCATGCGTCTGCGTCTGTGCCTGCGTCTGCGTCTGTGCCTGCGTCTGCGTCTGTGTCTGCGTTTGTCTGTGCATGCGTCTATCTCTGTGTCTATCTCTGTTGTCTATCTCTGTGCCTGTGGTTGCATCTTTCTCCATGCTCATCGTTGTCACAATCATGGCGGCCATGTATTTGGTGCAGCGGCTGCGTCACGTCCGCAGAGAGTGTCCTGATTGAGAAGCAGAACCACAAGGAGCTGGAGAATGCAGTACAGAACAAGAAGGTGCACATCTGTGCGTGCGTATTTGTGCATGTGGGCATGTGTTCATGCTTGTGTGCGTGCGTAATTGTGGTTGTGCGCGTGTGCACACACACACACACATGCCTGTTTGAGTGCACGCGGCGCGGTGCGTCACATGGGCTGCTGGTGCGTCTCCTCCGTCACTGAGCTCACCATGTGCACACATGGTCGTTGTGATGGTGACAGGAGGGCTCGCTGGTGTGCGTGTGCATTTCCCAGCAGAGCTACGCCTCCTTGGCTGTTCGGTTTGACATTTCTGCTGTGGAGGTACCAGCTGCGAACGCGCAACTGCGGACTGCTCACTGCGCTTGTTCGCTTGTGCCTTGCTGTTTTGCTTGCGGTTTGCCCCTCACCCGCGAGTGTACGCATCACACTAATTGCCTTGTCTTGCGACCACATTGTCTTGTCATCCAACAAACCCACCCACCGCGCAACAGGCATGTCAGCGGCTGGTCACCTTCTTCAAGTCCATTGGTGAGCAGCCATGCAAGGGGACCTGTCCCTACTGACACGGCTGACAGTGCCACTTCTGTTGTTGTTGTTGTCGTTGGTGTCGTTGGTGTGAGGGTGCATGTGCGTGTATAATGTGTGCAGTTGTTCGTGGACGCATATGTGTGTGTGTGTGCATGTGTCCAACGCGTTCGCTGCTTTCCTGGTCCATGCTAACGCTGCGTCCCTTGGTCGGACAGGCGTGGATTACGTCTTTGATGTCACTGTTGGTCGCTCCATTGCACTCCGCGAAAGGTGAGAGAGACACGAGTGCTTGAGGTCGCTCATGTTTCGTACACACACACACACTGTACGGAAGCGTTCATGCACAAACTCACACACGCACGCACACTGTACGGAAGCGTTCATGCACAAACTCACACACGCACACACACACATACATACATACATACATACATACATACATACATACATACATACATACATACATACATACATACATACATACATACACGCGCACGCGCGCACACACACGCATCATGTGCGCGTGTACCAGTGCGCGTGAGCTTGTTTCGCGCGTGCGGAATCCCATGGAAGGTTCTCCTGTGCCCGTGTTGGCGTCGTCCTGCCCCGGTTGGATCTGCTACGCAGAGAAGACGCACCCAGAGGCTCTGCCTTTCATCAGGTGCGCGTCCATTGTTTATGCGTGTGTGTGTACATATATATATATATATATGTGCGTGTGTATGTGTGTGTATGTGTGTGTGTATGTGTGTGTATGTGTGTGTGTGAACGTGCGAACAAGGGTTGGGTGAATGCAGCATTGCATACGTTCTCGTCTTGCGGTGCTTGCATCTGCCAAGTTGCCTTGAAACGCACCCACTCAATCGTACATCGCGCACATGCACACCACTTCTTGCAGCAAAGTCAAGTCTCCACAGCAGATTATGGGGGCGCTCGTAAAGTACCACTTTGCACCCCAGCTCGGCGTCAAGTGAGTGACATGCGTTGGAGGGAGGTGTGAAATAGCAAGTTTTAAGTTCATTTGGCTCGCACATGTGTCCACTTTGGGCGTGCCCACACATGTGCTCACACGCCCGCGCCCTCACGCTCACACGCGCACACGCCCTCATGTGCGAATAGGCCACAGGATGTGTTCATGGTCGCTGTGATGCCGTGCTTTGACAAGAAGCTCGAAGCGTCTCGGCAGGACTTTTATTCCGACATTTATCGCACGCGTGACGTTGATTGCGTCATCGTCTCACGTACGTCGTGTCTCGCCTGCATTGCCCGATACGCGCACACACACACACACATGCACATAAGTGTACATTACTGCTGAAAATACTTGAACACACATACACATATACTCATGTACTCTCTCTCACTCTCTCACGCTGTCACTCACGCTGTCACCCACGTACACGCACGCACACACGCATGAACACACACACACACACACACACACACACACACACACACACCTCCTGCTTCACGTGTATCCAACAGATGAGGTGGAAACGATGTTGGAGGAACGAAAGCTGCGACTGAACGACGTTGAAATGGGACAGCTCGACAGGTGTGTGTGTGTGTGTGTGCAACTCACGCACAATGTCGCACAACCCCCCTTTTCAGTGACCTCGTGTGCATGAGTGTGCGTACATGTGTTGTGCGTGTGCATGTGTTTTGTCTATCTGCGTGCGTGTATGTGTGTGTTTTGTGCTTTGCTCAATTTGCGCGCCTCGTCTGACTTTGCGTGGTGGCTGGAATCTGGAACTGCTCCTCTCAGTGTACTTCGACCAGGCCATTTCGATCAAGTTGTTGGACACGTTGGCAGCGGCTCTGTAAGTTGAATCGACAAGCATACACATACATACACACATACACACACACATACACACGCACACACGCACGCACACACTCACACGCACACACGCGCACACACGCACACACGCACACACGCACACACGCACGCACATACACACACACACACAACACTCCTCTGTTTGTGGGATGATCCACCAACCCAACTCACGGTTGCTTGCTTGCATGTGCAGGGCGGCTATCTGCACCACGTGCTGCTGTACGCGGCGCGTGAGCTGCATGGCGTGGAGATGAGCGAAGTGGAGATGGTCTCACGAAGGGGCGAGGACTACAAAGACACGCAGGTTTGCGTTGACGGCAAACCCGTTCTGAAGATGGCCACGGTGCGTCATGATCGAATGCGATGTCGGTACATATGTCACACACGAGCCGTGCCGCGCGATTTGCTGTCTCATGCGCACAAACATGTGCATGGGCGAGAATTTGCACGTGTGCACACACGTTCTCCACCCAACACTCACACTCATTTGCACACATACTCACTCGCACACTTATTTGCACACTCATTTGCACACACACACACACACATTCACACACATTCACTCGCACATACTCACACATACTCACATTCACTGCCTCTCAATTGCACACGTGTACACGGCAGGCGTACGGCTTCCGCAACATCCAGAACATCATCCGCAGGGTGAAGCGCAACAAGTGTCCGTATCAATACGTTGAGATCATGGCGTGTCCAAAAGGATGTGTCAACGGTGGTGGACAGATTCGCCACGCCGACCCAACCATGAAGGACGTCACGCCCACGCTCGTGGCTCGTCAGTACCACGCTGTTCCGTACGTAGCCCTGGGCATGCATTGCTTGTGCATTCAGAGCGCACTGTCGGTGTGTGTGTGTGCTTTCGTGTGTATATGTGTGTGTGCTTTCGTGTGTATATGTGTGTGTGCTTTCGTGTGTATGTGTGTGGTTTCGTGTGTGTGTGTGTGTGTGTGCTTTCGCGTGTGTGTGTGTGTGTGTCTGTGTGCTTTCCTGTGTGTGCGTGTGCATGTTGCGTGTGTGCATGTTGGTTGTCTTCTTGCTCACTGGCGTGCCGTCGCCTCACACTTAACGTCAATGTGTTACTTGCAGGGCAAAGAATGCGTGGGACGATGAGCGCGTGGCCACTCTTCTCGATGCACTTGATGCTGAACGAGAACAACAGAAGCAGAAGCAAGGGCCTGAACAGCAGAAACAAGTGCGGGAACAGGAGCAGGGGGAGGATAGTGTGGCGGCGGACGCAGTTGTGTTGCTGCCCTCCAATGAGCAGCTTTTCTTCACCAAGTACCACCGCGTCGAGGCAACCATCATGCCCCAGTTTGAGGCGTGGTAGATGCTCTGTGTGTGTGTGTGTCACGTTTGCTGGAGCGTGCGCTTATGTGTGCGTGCGTGCGTGTGTGCATGCGTGCGTATGCTTGTCTATTTGTTCGTGTTAGCTTTCGCTCTCAGCTCGTGTTGGACAGATCGCTTATCAGTAGTACATTACAACAACAGAGACACCCAAACTGAGCCTGCACACACTGACACACACACAGACCCCAAACTGAGCCTGCACACACTGACACACACACAGACCCCAAACTGAGCCTGCACACACAGACACACACACACAGACACACACACAGAGACACACACACACACACACACACACACGCAGGGATGACGTCATCGCACCAAGACTCACCCTTAACACCATAATTTAAACAAAACAGTTTCGCGGTTTCTTTTGTATGGGTGGGAGCGGAGCGGAATTCCTCACTTCCGAGTCACAAATGCAACCACAACAGCACAAGCACGGTGGCGATGGGGAGGCGAAGGTCAAGCCATGTTGGATAACCATGCCAGCATGCGGCTGTGGAACCCCACTCGGTTTCGCCACTGGGATTCTGCCCCCCCTCTCACTGATGATGGCTCCGCGCTGCCAGGGTGGAAGACGTGCACTCTCATTTCTTCATTTCCGCGTGTAGCAGGGAGGCGGGTGCATCTTCGGCCATCTCATGAGCAGGAGCATCAACGACAACAACGACAGCAGCAACAACGGCCAGAAGAACACGTCCCTTTCATTCCCATGCCGCTTGAGCACGCCACAGGAGCACATTGAACGATGGATGTGGAGCTGTTCTGTAATGCGTGCCTCACAGGCGACCTTGCCACCGTGCAGAACCAATGCACGCTGCACTCCAACGAACAGCTCGACCAGCGCAACAGCAAAGTAAGACCACCACAGCACCACTTGTCCATTCGTTCCATTGCCTCTGCGCCTGTATGCATGCCTGTGTGAATATCACCGGTCAGGGCAACGGTCTGGTTCTACTGGCCACGATCGCGTCATCTACATCTTCACTGAGCGACTTCCATTCATGCGATCGATGCTTGTCTCCTTCCATGGTCGTGGTAGGGTTTAGCAGCGTTGCACTGTGCGACGGAGGGTGAGCATGGAGCGGTTGTGCAACTGTTGCTGGAGTCTGGCGCAGATCTCAACGTGACGAGCAGAGGGGTGAGTCATGGTTCATGCCAGTGTGTTTCTCTCTCTCTCTCTCTGTGTTTGTGTCGTGACAAGGCTGCCACATGGTCCAAGGGCGCATGCTGAGCAGCGGGTGTGTGGCACTGGTGTGCGGGTGTGGTTTGCACGTTTTCCGTCCTTGTGTACAACGATCATGTAGTCGTGCTGCATTGCACACCAACCACCAGCCATGTGCACGCTCATGTGTACTCTGTCACACCACATTGAGCACATTGGCACACTGACACTCACGCACGCCACCAACTCATCCCCTTATCATCCACTTGCCCTTTTTGTGCCCAACGGTCAATTACCCACAAACACACGCATTCATGCACACACGCACACGCACACACACGCGCACACGCACGCACACCACTGGTCAGCGGTCCACGCCGCTCCATCTTGCAGCCAGAAACGGCAACGAAGCCATTGCTCGCGACCTCATTGAACGTGGTGCTACAATCCTCGCCAGCAACAACAAGGTTGGTTCTTCAGACAGACGAACAGAAACGTGCCGTTGCGCGCGCGCGCTCTCTCTCTCTCCCCGTCTCTCTCTCTCTCTCTGACTGTGTCTCGTTTTGTGCGCATGCACCCCAAGCCCAACTGGAGGAGAGGCCTGGATGGAAGACGCTCTGGCCACACGGTCGAGGCCCACGTTCTTATTGTGTTTGTACGTGTATGATCGGTTCACTCACACATGCTTGTTGTGTTCATTGCGCAGGGCTGGACACCACTTCATGTGGCTTGCTCCGCTGGGCACTTGCCAATTGTGCAACTGCTGATTGTCGAGCATGCCGTTGACGTCAACCTACTCACAACACGCCATGTATGTCTTTAAGAAGGCAGAGAGAGTGTGCGAGAGAGAGTGTGTGTGCACGTTCACATACGTGGGTGTGCGTGGGCTTCATGTATCTGTGCATGTGTGCATGTGTGCATGTGTGTGTGTGTCTGTGTGCCATGCACGTCCGTTGTAGTTTGCTTGCGCTGTGCCGTCGCTTGGCCAGCAACAAAGCTGCTCCCCATCACACCGGAGCCCAGCATGTCCAATGGTGTTACGGGCTCTGCGTTTGTTTTTGCTGCGTGGCGCAATATTGACGCTCTCACTTATGCGCTCACATGGACTTGGTGATGGCACGTGCGTGCACTGTCGTTTCACTCGCCAGCGGGAGACGCCTATCTTTATTGCGGCTTTTCAAGGCCGAGAGGAGATTGTTCACTTCCTTGTTGAGCACGGCGCCAACGTCAACCTGAAGAACCATCTGGTTTGTTTCGTCACCACTCACTGGGCAACACACACAAATGTGGCACATCCAGTTGATTTGAGCACACTCGACGCAACGACATGACAATACACACACATACACACTCGCACACTGACAAACACACTAACACACATGCACGCAGTACTCATGCTCGCACACGGTGTTGTGCTGTTTGGTGCTCCTTCTACTCTCTTTCTTCCCCTTGCTTTGACAGGGGAGCTTGCCAATCCACGCCGCTTGCTACAACCGACACGAGCGAATTGTGCAAGCGCTTCTGAAGTGCGGTGCTGCTGCGGACGAATCGTCCGATTTGGTGCGTAAATGAACAGAAAGCGTTGCGTAGCGCCTGTCAGTCGCCTTGATCGAGTATCTCTTTGGGGGAGGGGGATGGAAGTTTTGACCAGACATGCTTCTCAACTCACATCGTTTGCTTGGTGGACTGTCTTCCCTGCCGCCCATCTCACCATAATTTCGCATGACACATTGTACGTTGGCAACAGGGCTCCACGCCCCTGATTTTGGCGTCCATCTCGAACCACCTTGCTACGGCGCAACTGCTCGTGGCACACGGCGTGGACGTGAACAAAGAGAGCAAGGTACGCATCAGCAAGCCGCGGCCGCTCTTGCATTCATTGCCTGGTGCTCTGAGAACCGGTCCAGCCCGTGTTTGCGTGCAAAGACGTACAAACAAGAAAGGGTGTGGTTTGCGCGCGCGCATGTGTGTTTGTTGTTCCTGCGGATGCGAAGGTGTACGCTGCTCGTGCGCGTGCATGTGTGTGTGTGTGTGTTGTTACTGGTCAACGGGCTGTGCCGAGCGTGTAGTTCTCATGCGCGGGCGTGTACCGTTACAGGCAAACACCGCCTTGCATTCGAGCGCCCGCCGCGGTCATGTGGAGATGATGCGGTTCCTGCTTCAGAACGGCGCTGACGTCAATGCTGCGGTCGGCACGGACGTGAGTGTCATGAGCATGCCTAGCTGCTGTCAGGTTGTGTTTGTACTGTATGAGTGCACACACGAAGTGTCTCGTGTGTTATTACCCTTGGCTCACCCTCTCACAGCACACCCTTTTTCACACGTGAGCACACGCTTACAAAAAAACAACCACATACACACCCACACCCACCCACCCACACACACCCACACACACCCACCCACACACACACACACACACACACACACACACACACACACACACACACACACACACACACACACACACACACACACACACTGACGTGAACCCACGCGCTTATCCCACTCGTGTTTGCACCCTACGTGCTGTCATGCTGCGTGTACAGTTGATCACACCGCTGTACACAGCAGTGAAGAACGGGCACGAAGAGGCAGCGCGCTTTCTGCTGCAAAATGGCGCCCACCTCAAAGTCAGCAGGGTATGTACAGAACTTGAAGTCTTGAACGCGCGTTTCTAGCTGGTGGAGAGACGGCTTGGCTGATCAGGAATCAAGAGCCTCATCGCCACTCCATTTACCATGTCCATGATAAAAGTACCTCACCAAGCAGTAGAACAACTCACATGCTTTGCTTGCCTCAGCCACATAGGACTTACACTGACATGATGGATGTGGTGCACATGCTAACCACCTCGCACATGCACACACACACATACACACACACACACACAAATGTAGCCTTTCGATGCGATGTTCGTCGCCTGCATCGTCAACCAGCTGCCGTTGGTGTCGCTGCTCTTTGAGTTTGGTGTAGATGTCAACGCCATCGATCAAGAGGTGTGCAAGGAGAGAGCGTGCATGTTTGTGTGTTCGTGTGCACGTATGATTGCATCTTTGTATGTTTGTCTGCTTGTGTGTTCACGTCTTTGTATGCTTGTATGTGCGTGCTTGTATTCGTGGAGCGTATTGGCTGGGACGTTTGAACGGTTATGTTGGTGCGTGCGGACTGCGCCAAGCGTGGTAATCTCGAGGGCCTTATCCAGTTCGTCACAAGCGCATGCATGCGTGTATTGTGCTGCGAAACGCTTTGCACCTCAACAGGGTTCAACCGCGCTGTTTCTCGCGTGCTGGCATGGCCACGACTCAATCATCCACTTCCTCCTTGAGAGGGGTGCCGATGTCACGATCATCGACTTTCTTGTACGTGGTGAAAACCCCCAAACATTGTGCCATCAATGCAACCACAGCAAACAACAAGCAAGGGATGTGGCGTTGGTTGCATGCGCTTGCTCACTCGCTTGCTGGCAGTGAGCTTTCTTTACTCGCGCTCATTGTATTCTTGATTGTGATTCACACAGGGAAACACGGCGCTGCATTATGCGTGTGATGGGGGCCACGAAACGGCTGCACGGATGCTCCTTGAAAGAGGCGCTGATGTAAACGCCGCCGACCACGATGTCAGAACACATGACCAGCATGTTTTCGTGTACATGCTTTCGTGTGTGTTCGCGTGCATGCTTGGGTGTGTGTTTGCATGCATGCTCGCTTGTTTGCATCACTCTGACCGCCTTCGCACCGTTCATGCTCCCAATGCACCACTTGCGTGTTTGTTCCACACAAAACACAGGGTTTGGTGCCGTTGGCTCCCGTGGTCTCCAATGGCCGCGAAGCACTTGCACGGCTCCTCATCAGCGCGGGCGCCGACGTTAATGTTCCCGGAGTTGATGTAGGTTGCACCACCACCACCATCACCACCACCACCATCACAAGCAGGGGCAGGAGCACCGCCGCCACCACCACCACCACCACCTTTACCACCGCAATCATAGTAACAGCAACAACACCACGACTGCCCATACCTGAGAGCTCGTGCTTATTGTGGCATTCTGGATGGTGTTACACAGGGCGATTCTCCGCTCCACTTGGCTTGTTCCCATGGCCAGGAAGAAATTGCTCGCATGCTGCTGGACCACGGAGCAGACGTGCACGCGCTCAACATCGATGTGCGTGACATAGCGCAAGCACACCTGGGCATGCGTAAGCATGTATTGCACGCAATCATTCGTGTGATCGCTCGCAACTTCGTGTCGCACAAGCCCCTCAGCTGCCCGCTCACTGTTTGCTGAGCACGAATTACGACACTCACCGCATGCGCCATGCTCTGCTATGACGCGTGTTCAGGGTGACACGCCGTTGCACAGCGCCTGCCGGGATGGGCATGAGGCCGTTGTGCGCCTCCTGTGCGAACGGGGCGCTGACATCCACGTCACCAACGACGAGGTACACGCGCGTCTCTTGGCCTCTACGCCTCCTTTCTGTCAAGCTTTGCAAAGTTGTCCCTTTTTTCCTGCCCACCTACTTCCCACTTCCTCCACTCTCTCCCTTTATCCTCACCGCACAACCAATTCCAAATGCTCTCACGTGCTTGTGTTCGCCTGCTCGGCACTTCCGTCGTGGGCGTGCACACCTTAGGGCCACACGACAATGCACTCCGCATGCCTGGGGGCGCACGAAGAAATTGCGCAGCTTCTGTGCGAAATGGGCGCTGACATTCACACGACCGACAATATGGTGCGATGAGAGACACCACTTCATGTCGGAGCTTCTTGAATGTGTCTCCACAGCACAAGACCCGTGCATCTGTTGCTGTTCAAGTTGTTGCTGATTGCTGCTTGTTGCTTGTTGCTGATTGCTGCTGATGTTGTTGCTATGTAACAGGTTGTCGTTTTGCCGGTGTCATGCCAACGCAAACTTATGTGAATGCATATGCGCATGTGATGATGTGGTATTGCGCGCGGTTGTTGTATGTGTGTGTGTGTGTGTTCACAGGGCGATACACCGCTGGCTGAAGCGTGCGCTCTGGGTGCCGAGACGCTTGCTCGCTACCTTGTGGATCGCGGCGCCAACATTCATGCAGCAAACCTCGAGGTACATACGTGTGTACCCGTGGTGAGCGCGATGGGAGCGCTGTGAGCAGGCAGCGTTGCTTCCCTGAGCGTGGGCGCGTCTTGGCTTGCATCGCTTGCGTCGCTTGCGTCGCTCTGCGATTGCTTGTTTGTTGTTCGTTTGTTTGAATGGTTTGCTCGTCTTACTGGCGTGTGTGTCGCTCACGGGAAGCGCTGCATATGTGTGCATGCTGCTGTGTTGTCGTGCTGTGCATGTTCGTCACATCAGGGCTGGATGCCGCTGCACACTGCCTGCTCACGAGGACATGACAACTTGGTCGACTTTCTCGTTGGAGCTGGTGCTGATGTGAATGCAAGGACCCACACGGTGTGTTCTTCCTGGGCCAATGCGTTGACTTTGGCCGCCCTCAGTAGTGCGCACACATTCACACAAAGGACTTCAGGAATACACGCACAACACACGCAAGCACAGGCACTGACATGCACATACACACATGCACATGTACATGTACACGTGCGCATCTGCAGCAACGAACGCCTCTACACTATGCATGCGGAGAAGGACACGAGGGCATCGCCCGCTTTCTCGTGCAGAGCGGCTCGGACGTGAACGCCACAGAGATCCGGGTGAGAGCAGGGGAGGAGGTGTGCCATATGACGCATTGTGACAGGGTGTGACGCGTTGTGGCAGGGTATGACACGACGCCACACCACAATGTTGTTTATGGTTGTGCCAGACATGACATGCACGCGCGCGGGCACGTGGAAGGGCTGGGGGTGAGCTGTACTGATCGTGTGCTGACTTGTGCGACTGTGCCTGCGGGCGTTGCATGTCAACTTGAAGGGGGAGACGCCCCTCTCGTTTGTCTGCGATCCTGTCACCCGCACTCCCCGAGAAGAAGTACGTCAAGCCGACACGGCAATCTACATGATGAGCATTTGGCTCACAGCGAACAGAATCCGCGTGTGCTTTGCAACACAGAGTCTTTCTTGGCTTGCTCGTGTATGTCGCCTTCACGGTTGTCGTTGAAGGGAACAGCGCGTGTTGACGCTACACGCGCGCACCCGCACACACACACACATACACATACACATCACACACACACACATACACATACGTCCATGTCTGTGTGCACCCTCGAACACCGATGTGCTCACGCACAAAGACACACACACACAGCACGACTGTTTCACGTGGCAACTACTGTTTCGTTCACATGTGCATCTGCACACACACACACACATACACACACACACACACCTACACACACACGTCGCCTTGTGCCGTTTTGTTTTGACCACACCAGGAAATGGAACACACAGGCAACGAAGAGAGTGTCCCGAGCTCCACTGATGACAATTCCGAGGATGACGGGGGGCGCAACGGCAACGATGGCGGAGGCAGCAATGACAGCGATGATAGGAACATGAGCGAAGTTGTGGATGATGAAACACGACGCACGCGCGTTGATGTGCTGCTTGCTCCAATTGCACAGCTGCTTCTGGAGACTGGTGCAGAGGTCAACGTCACCAACATCCATGTATGTTAAACGCCTTGCAATTGCATGGCGCAGACAGCCCATCTGTCTTCGTGCCTGTCGATGCGTGTGCTTGTTTGTTTGTTGTGTGTGTGTGTGTGTTGTTGTGTGTGTGTGTGTGTGTGTGTGTGTGTGTAGTGTTAGTATTGGCTTCGCACATGTGTGTGCGCAGGTGTACTTGCGTACGCGGTTCCTGTTTGTTGCTTGTGCTCGTTTGTGTGTCAATTGTTTGGTGGGCATGTGCGTTGTTGCGTACGTCATCACCTGTGCTGTTGTCCTTCCCTGTCCCAACATCTGTGTCTGCCTGCGTGCTGTGTTCATGTTCGAGCAAGTTCTTGCTGGACATGCCTTCTCTACTGCCATTGTCTCATGCGCATTGACACGATGTTGCTCGCTTACATTTCTGCGTGTACCTGGCTGTGCATGCAACTAATTGTGCATGCAACTGGTTTTGGTTCGGCGGCAACTAGGGGCTGACACCACTGCATCAAGCTGCTGAGAACCACCTGCCACGCGTGGCTCACTGGCTGCTTGCGTTTGGCGCAAACGTTAACGCCTTGCTGAGTGGGCGCACGATGGATAGCGCCTACCCTGTAGGTGCAAGCGTGTGTCGCTGACTCTTGTGCAAGTGCGCATGCATGCACGCTTCGTGCATGTACTTCTCGTGCTATGCCTGTCTGTCAGAGCGTCAAAGCCTGATGTACAACATTCCTCACGATTGAGCGTGCATGCATGTGTTTGTACGTACCTGTGCGTGCGCGTGCGTGTGTCTCTGCGTGTGTGTCTGGACAGCAACAAGCCACACCGTTGTTTGTAGCAGCAATGAATGGCGCCGCACCCATGGTGGAGCTGCTGCTTTCCAACGGCGCTGACGCAAGCATTGCTGCAGCGGATGTGAGTGACGGGGATTTTGCTTATCCGCTTGCTTGCACAACCAGCACTTGCAACCTGTGCTTGCACGATGGCTGCATCACCTTTTGTTGTGCTGCATCCCCTTAGCAGGCGAGCATGCATGACACACGATGCATGGGGCGATGCACGCACTTTGCTCTTGCGCGACACACTTGCTTGCAAAGCAGGTGCATGTGCGATTTCATCCCCCCCCCCCCATAACACCAACGCGTTTCATGACCGTCTTTTTACCAGGGAGCAACGCCCCTTCAAGTTGCAGAGGAGAGGGGGTATGATCACATTGCCTCCATGCTGCAAGAGGCACTCCTCCGCTCTTGATTGCACGTGCTTGCGTGGTGATGTGTGCTATGTATGATTGCGTACTTGTGTACAATGATGAATGCGTGTGTACGCGTGTCATGGTTGCCTGTTTGCTTGTCCCTATGAGCTGCCTTGTGGTGTTTGCGCGTACGAGTGCTTGCAGTTTGTGTGTGTGTTTGTGTTTGTGTGTGTGTGTGTGGGTGTGTTTGTGGGGTTCACCCAACAAGTAAAGCAACAGCGTGCATGGATGATCGATTGATTCATGAATCACTGACCGGGGCACAACTCCACGATTCCCATGCTTGCTGCGAAAGCGTCAATCAACTCATGGTTTCCGGGAAGCGTTTACTTGTTCATGGTGCTCGGACATGAAACTGCATGACATGAAGCGAAATCACGAGACGACTGCAACGTCCACCGCCACCACATACCAACGACACCTGAAATGAGAGGAACCAACAGCCATGGCACTGACCAGCAGCGCAAACAACACACGCACACACACATAACGCACAACACACACCCACACACGTCGCAATCGATGCTGATTATCGGATGGTTGAGGAAAAGTCCATAAAGTTGCTGGTGTTGAGGATGCTGCCTTGGTTGATGGGTTTGCTGGTGGTGGTGATGTGCCATGGGGCGAGCGATGAGGGTGTGAGGCAGGCAGACA